AGTTTGCACTACATTGATGATTGACGAAGCTGCGCCAGAGATGCCTTGAGACGGCATACTTTCCATTACATTCAAATAAAATTTGTAATTAAAACATTTGCTTACAGAAGAAGCAAGAAATGCAAGAGTTTTTTTATATAGAAGAGATACTGCTTATTTTTACTTTTAATATAAAAAACATTGAAAATAATTAATTTTGTTCTCCAAAAAAAGTTATTTATTTTTACTTTTTATTAAAAAAAAAGAGTGACTGTTAGTTTCAGGCAATGTGTGTTTTAGTTTCAGTTGTTCAATATTGGTGTTCGGTAACAGTGAGGCAAACATTAAAATAAATGAATGAAATAATCATTCATTAATTGTAATCGAGTTAAAATATTCAATTAATGAGATTTTGATTTTAGTCCAAATCGCCCAGCCCTAATTTATACACTTTTCAGTTTGACAAATCTTACTTACCTATCTTTTTCTTCTGTTGACGCCCAGCTGATTCTGTAATGGTTTCCTTCTTTTTCTCCACTAAAACATTTTGCACAATTTTAAGCAAAGGTCACTTGTAATAATGCAAAGGACAAAGGTTTAATTCATACAACTTACGTTTTTTACTCTGCTTTTCAACCTCAGCCTTTAGCCTCTTGTATTTATCTGTGCGGTACACCAGAACCCATGTTATTCCTGTAAAACAGAGTGAAACAAACTGTAAAGCTGCTTTACTAGAGTATTTGTCCTGCATGTGCTGAGCTCAGGACATTTTCCAGGACGCTCGCTAACTGCTTTGACATGTAAAACTGAAAATCACGACAGTGTTTACATACCTTCCGCTAATAGTGCTGTACAAATAGATATAAAAACGATCAGGATCGTATCTGCGAACATTGTGCTCATTTTGGAGATATGTTTGGGGGTCTGATAATAATACTGGATAACACCTTTAGACAGCTGAACCCTTTACTGTAGCAGCGTCAGCATTACTGTGGTGATGTCATCAATGAGCGCCCGGCTTCCTCGTGGGTGTTTCATGTGGTCTCATTTGAGTCCTGACTCTACATCTCCTGCTAGCGGTAATAACTCGGCACTACCGGAGGGCATATTGATTTGACCCAGCAAAAAACGCTAAAAATGGTTTGACACAGTCTTTATTGTTTTAGGACGTGTTCTTTTTGTTGTTGTGGCTTTATTTTACAAGGTATAAGATGTTTTGCACTATAGATTTAAATTACATCAGTGTGTATTACTCTAAAAACAATGAAATACTTTTCAAGTAAAAAAAAAATTAAGGTTAAATACTTTCGTATAAAGACATGCTTTGTGTACAGTTTTATACTGTCTCATATAATCATTTTCATATTGTTGTATAGCTAGTAGGCTATTTAGCCGGCAGGATCTGTTAATTTACTTCATATTTATTTCTATAGAGCTTTTAGAATGTAAATTGTGTCAAATAAGATTAAAATAGAAGTCCAAGTAAATTTGAAATGTGTCAGTCCAGTTTTCAGAGTTGAAGTTTAGTTCAGTTCAGTTCAGTTCAGTGCGGTTTAAATTTTACTGCTGAAAGTTCAAACGTTGAAATGCAAATCCATCAATGTGCAGCTCCACAAGTCCCAAACAAAGCAAGCCAGTGGCGACAGTGATGAGGAACTAAACTTCACCAATTGACGAAAGTGAAGGAAAAAAACTTTGAGAGAAACCAGGCTCAGTTAAGCATGACCATTTCTCGTCTGGCCAAACTCCTTGTGCAGAGCTGCAGTCTAGGCGCCTGAGGCTGGAGAACACTGGATGTCCTTCATGGAGAAGCTGCGGGCGTGAGTGTGACTCTACACAAATACACACCTGATACACTCCATACGTATGCACACATGATACACTCTATACATATGCACATATGATACACTCCATACATATGTATCAGAATGTGTTTATATGTACAGTGACTCCATACATATACCAAAGATAATCTCCATAAATAAGCACACGATAATTCAATTCAATTCAATACACTATACATATGCACAGATTTTACATTCCATACATATGTATCGGAATGTGTTTATATGACTCCATACATATGCACACGATACATTCTATACATATACATGCCATACAAATGCACACCACACTTAATTCACATGCACACTTGATACACACTCCATACATATGCACACGACACATTCTTTACATGTACACATCGAACAAATGCACACATAATAGACTCAGTACATATGCACACATGATACACTCCATACATATGCACACATGATACACTCCATACATATACAGACGATAAACTACATACATAAGCACACAATACACTCTATACATATGCACAGATTTTACATTCCATACAAATGTATCGGAATGTGTGTATATGTACAGAGTGACTCCATACATATGCACACATGATACATTCTATTCATATACATGCCATACAAATGCACACCACACTTAATTCACATGCACACATGATACACACTACATACATATGCACACGATACATTCTTTACATGTACACATCATACAAATGCACACATGATAGACTCAATACATATGCACACATGATACACTCAATACATATGCACACATGATACATTCTATTGATGATACACTATGCATATACACACTTCATACATATGCACACGATACATTCTTCACATATAAGCATCGTACAAATGCACACGATAAACTTCATACATATGCACACATGATAGACTCCATACATATGCACACATGATAGACTCCATACATATTGCCACATGAAACACTCCATACATATGCACACATAATACATTCTATTGATAATACACTATGGAAATACACACAATACACTCTATTCATATACACACTCCATACATATGCACACATGATACATTCCATACATATACACACGGTACACTCCATGCATATACACACATCATACAACGAAGGACATGACATACTCTATACATATGCACACATTACACACTACATACAACAATACAAATACACACACGATACACTCTACAAGCACACATGATACACTCCATACATATGCACACGATACAACATATATTTGCACACATGATACACTCTATACATATACACAAACACACGATACACTCCATACATACGCACATATGATACACTCTATACAAATACACACGATACACTCCATACATATGCACACATGATACAGTCTATACAAATACACACATGATACACTCTATACTTATACACACACACGATACACTCTATACAAACACACACATGATACACTCCATACATATGCACACATGATAAACTCTATACATGTACACACACATAATATATTGTATACATATACACACACATTATACACTCCATACATATGCACACATGATACACTCTATATATGATACATTCTATACATACACACACGTTTGCGCAGCGGATGCCCTTCCAGCTGCAACCCATCTCTGGGAAACATCCATACACACTTATTCATACTCATACACTACGGCAATTTTAGCATGCCCAATTCACATGTACCGCATGTCTTTGGACTATGGGGGAAACCGGAGTATGAATTGGTTGGTTGTTAGTATGGCCAATGTAAAGTCAACGGCATTTTTTTTCAAAATGGAAGTATTTGGGACAGTTGCTAAGGTGCTGTGAGTGGTTAGCAACCACTCACAGCACCTTAGCAATTGTCCCAAATACTTTTGTGAGGCTAGTACGTTAAAATATTATCAGTGATTGGCAAATTGGTAGTCTGAGTTAAATGAGCAGAACCATAACCTTGTATGGCAATCTGGCGGAAAGTTATGAGGTCATGAAGTTTGGTCCAATGTTAATTAAAGGGGACTTTCCAAATTTTAGGGTCAGTTTTCAGAAGACCTCTAAGTCGGATCAGTTGGAAAAGAAATAGTAACCTGAGTCTGACCAGTTTGGAGGTTTGGTGATAGTTTGGTGGTTGTAGTATGAATGGTCTAGGAGGAGATGCATAAACAAATAGTCTCAGAAGAAGATTGAACAATAATAAGTTTATGTAGTTTAACAGTATGTTGGCTTTCTCAAGCCACCATTAGACACTGTTCCTTTTTCTCGCTGCCATTTTCCAAGTGCCGTAAACTCGAAGCTTGATCAAATACCAAAGATATTAATGAACAAAGTTTTTTTTTTTTTTGGTGCAAAAAAGTTTATGATTATAGTTGAACCATTATGTCACATGGAATGTTTTTGGTTCCTTTTCTGGGTATTGAGCATCTCAGGACCATTGCTGTATAGATACAGCTCCCTCTGTAAGGATGAGAGAGCTCTCATGTTTCATCTAAAATATCTTAATCATTCATTCATTTTCCTTCAGTTTAGTCCCTTTATTCATCAGGGGTCACCTCAGCAGAATGAACCGCCAACTTATCCAACACATGTTTTATACAGCGGATGCCCTTTCAGCTGCAACCCAATATTGAGAAACACCCATACACATACTATGACCAATTTAGTTTATTCAATTGTACTGCATGTCTTTGGAAACCAGAGCAACCAGAGAAAACCCATGCGAACACAGTGAGAACATGCAAATGCCCCACAGAAATGCCAACTGACCTTGCCAAGGCTCGAACCAGCGACCTTCTTGCTGTGAGGCGACGGTGCTAACCACTGAGCCACAGCATCGCCCATATCTTAATCTGTGTTCTGAAAAAGAATGACAGAATTGTAATATGTGGGTGAACTAACCTTTAACACTTGAAAAATCATGATTATACATAAAAAGAAAAAAAAATTGATCTATTAATTTTAAATTAACTTTGGCGAAAATAAAATGTCAAAATATGGGTGAAAAATACTTCCATGTATGATAGTCAGTATTAGAAATAAAATAAACAGGACACACACACAAAAATAGGTGTATCTATCTGGCAATCTTCCATAGTTCATTGAAGTGTTTTGCTAGTTCCTACTAACAAATGTAAGACAACACTAAAGGCCCCAAAGGAAAAGGTTAGAGACAATTGAAAGGAAGGGGGAGGAGGATCCTTTGCTCGCCGTGTAAAAGCAGCTCGAGCCTCAGTCGCGCACTGGCAGCATGGCAGGAGACAGCGACAGCAAGCTGGACAATCACGCCGAAAACGAGCATGTGGACTGGCAACCTTTCCTCATCGGGGTAGCCGGCGGCACTGCCAGCGGCAAGGTTGGCATTCTGCTAACGTTATTATCAGTTATATGGCTTGTTTTGTGTTTGTCCGACAGAGGATGAGTTCATGCTGGCCGCGTGGCTCATTGTGACGGATTCATCAGTCAGTGTGTTCATATATTTATTTTATTCCTCGAGATGTGTTGACTTGTGTCCGATGTAAAAAAAAAAACAGACCTTTTAGTATTTACTGAGTAGTCGAATTGACTTGCCTTATTCATTTATAAAATGAAGTTAACGCGTTTAAGATGAAAGATAACATAAGTTACATTATTTAACAAGATTATTCAAACATAGTGTAGACATGTAATGAGAATATGTTTAGTAACGTTACTTTATGATCTTCGTATCCTTTTTAAAACAAAGATGTTAGTCATTTCCCTGACACAGACAGCTCCCACACACATCATCGCCGCCGCCATACATGTACCATGGCGTTGGTGGAGGCTACTTACCAACTTATTAAAGCCATAAATCAATTTTATTGTTCTAACACCAAGTTCTCAAAATCCAGTTGAACTCATTCGCGAGTATAATGATGATTCTTGTGGATCTGGATTGTGTAGAAGCAAAGTAACGTTACGGCTGTCTTTTGTTGTTGGAAAACAGCGTGATACTTGCGCCGGCTAAATCACCTCAATCCTGCTGACAGCCAATGCATTTACCAAACCCTGTCAGCTGTCAAAACCGAGTAACATTTTTAATTTAAGCTATATTTATTCATTGTGTTGTGTGTTACGGTTATGAAGATAAAACACACGTCCGCCCCCAAGGATGTCTCGTGTCTGCTAGGATAACAGTTGATACAAAAGGCGCTGTCTTTGTTTCATGAGCTAAAATGTTTGTGATGATCTCAGAGAATAAGACAACAGTTTATATGTGTGTTCAGCGTTTAACCCAGGTGATTACGAAATGTGTATGATGAAGAAGAGTAATAGCAGAGCTTTTGTTGTTTAACGTTATTGGGGTCAGCGGCACAGCAAATGTGTCACATCTCATCTTACCTCATTTACGTACGTACGTGCGTGCGCGGCGTCGTGCGTGCGCGCGCACGTACTGATGCGTCAGGACGGCTAGTTTGCTACTTAGATATATGTATCTATCCGAGTTTGATAACGTACGTTTTTGCCACTGACTTATTAAATCATGTAGGGATTTATATAGTTACAGTGAATTGGTAACACTTTTGGTTTAAAAGGTACTTTAAAGTAATATTAAAAAATGTTTATTGTATCTCACCAAAAGTACTTTACCTTATTAAAACCGAAAATACCATGCATCTGCTTCTCTTCCAGAGTTTACTACAAAGACAAAAGAATACACGCCTTAAAGGGACTTTGCGATTAAGGGCCTTTCTATCATGGATAAAAAATTTAATAACAATTATATTAGAAAAATCCTAACTGCAGCTAAAGTTCCTCTAATAGCAGTGGTTAAATGGAAACAAGCATTTCCTTTATTCTTTTTCCTCCCTAAAATTTGGTCACATATTAAAAAATACATGATTCCTAATAAAGAAAACAAAACTAATTTTAAAATATTACATAGATATTATACATGCAATGATTTTATTTGCATGTTCAAGGAAGGTTTTTCACACTTGTGCTGTTTTTGTAAAGTGGCGCCGGAAACAATCCTCCATTTATTTTTCAATTGCAACTACACACAATTGTTTTGGTCCCAAGTTCCTTATTACCTTTTGAAGTGCATTATAATTGTATCAATATAACTGATAAAATGGTTTTATTTATGGATTGCAACTCTGGGTCATTGGAAATGAACAAAATAATGAAATATTTATTTTATTTGGAAAGTTTAACATCCACAAAACGAAATGTATGCTGACTGTACCTAATTGTAAACAATTTTTCATTGATCTAATTATTTTTAATGATTTCCTAACTTCTATACAGGGTAATCCCAAAGCTCTTAAGACATCCCAGCTGCTAAAAAAATACATGATTAAGTTTTGCTGTTAATTCATTTGTATTCTGTTATATGTATAATTCTGAATTCCCTTTATTTTAATCAATAAAAAATGTAAAGTACTTTTAGGTGTATGTATCCTTTTATACAGTTTATGGTTTATGTAGAACATTTGCATGAAAATATTGACAAATGATATTATACAATACATTTGCTGTTATAATCTTATTGTACAAACTAAAAAAACAGAAATCAAATCGCCAAAAAATATGTTTTTACATCCGTTTTGGCTTTTTGATTTTTTACACTGTTTAAAGAAATCTATATTTAGGGTACACAGCTCTGTTTGCCAGAGTTTTCCAATGAAATGGCAACATATTAGGTTTTTAAATTTAACATAAATTTACAGCGATATGTATTTAGCTAAGTAAAAAAGTATTAATTTCTGTTATGTACCATGATAATGTACCGACATCCACCAAAACAGGTAATGATGCGAAAGTCACATGGTAAATGATAAAAAAAACTCTACACAAACCACTTTCCAAGGCTTTAAGGAAGTGAATGCTAACATAAAAAGTAGGTGGACAGTGTCATTCATGGAAATGCTAAACACCAATATAGTCTCACATGACACTGAAGTAAAGCAATAAATGTTAATTTCACAAAATCAGACGTAAAATGAAAAAAAAAAACTTATATGCAACTGATAAGATATTTACTTTGGTATTATGTATTTTAAGCTATCATGTCGGCTTCCATTGCATTCAGTTGTCTTATCTTGTCTGCTTATGTTGTGACGACTATTACTTCCAGCTGTCAGCTGTGCAAGTTTAATACTCCACCAGGGTGTATGTAGGAATGCGTTGTCTAACTTCTCAAGAAAAATGCTTTGGCTAGACTCTCAAACAGTGTTTATGTTATCATTCCTGTAGGCATGTACACACTCATTGTTTTGTCCAGAATTAATGTTCTGCTCTCACTGTGTTTAAGGACACCAGCTTGTTTACATCCTGAAATGTTCTACCAAAGCAGATAACATACTGAAGCAAGCAAGTGTTGCCTGTTTATTGCAATCATTTCACCCAGCAACTTTTAAAATTACTAGTAGTTAATTTTTGTATTTAAGATTATGCATCAAATGTTAGAGTCGACTAGAATTTAGTTAGCATTAGCATTACGTTTCTAAATGGCAGATTAGCTTGTTGTTGTTGAAAAAAAACTTAGAATTTAAAGAGAGATTTAGGGAATTTTTAGATTTAGGGAATGTTTAGTCAGAAACAGGAGAAGCTGTTTTTAGCTGACCTGCAATGTTATTTTGTGGCCAATGATGGGCCAGGATAGGGAGGATTCACAACTAGCTAAGATGAGTCACTATGAGCACTTTCATCCTCCTACAGACTTTAAGGTAAATGATTGTCTTTCTCTGCCTGCAAGCCGTTGAGCATGTGATTAGTAGATATTTTGGCTGGAGTTTGACAGATCTCAGGCACAGATTGGATCACCAAATGCCGGAGACTTCAAGCTTTATGCAGCGGACAAATATTCAGTTATTACATAATGTAAATGTGTTCATGAGTTTACAATACATTTAAGTAGGTCCTTTTAATTAATGTTACTTAATGCATGAACTAAATTTTAGCATGCAACAAACAACTGATGTAATAATATTTATATTTTTTATGTTAGCTGAGCTGACAAAAAATACAGATGTACAATTTTTTTTCAGTTCTTTATAAGGTGGGAAGATGTCTCTTCATTGATTTGCTATTTGTAAAATGGTTAATGTAAATGCTGATGTTTTGTTTTATTTATATGCAGTTGAAGTCATAATTATTTGCCCTCCTTTTGAGATTTAATTCTTTAAAAAATACGAGTGCTGTATAACAGTACCATTTTTTATACAATAGATTTCAATAACTATTTTTATTAAATTGGTAAAAAGTTAAGGTAACTCAAACCAATTGAGGAAATCGATTGCAACAAATCATTTAAGTTAAAACAAATCCTAATCAGTTTTGCAACTTAATTTATTTGAGTAAATGAAGCAATTTGAGCACAGTAAAACCCTATAAATGAAGAGAACTCAAACCAATGGAGTACTGGAAAAAACAATAAGTTATAAGGAAACTCAAACCGTTTGAGGAAACCGATTGCTACAAACCATTAGAGTTAAACAAATTATCTATAAGAGTACTTTGAATTTGCTCCATTTAAGTTGAAATAATGTGGTATTTAATTACCTCATCGCCTTCAATACTAAGTTCAAAACTCTTTTCAAATGAGTAGAATTAACATTCAGTAAATTGAGTTAACTACACATTACGTTTGATAAAGTTGACTGTTGGGTTTTACAGTGTAGTTATTTTGCAAGATGCTAGTATTCAGCTTAAAGTGTATTTACCTATAGCAATAGAAAAGATTCTTGAGGTTAATATAAAAATGTCTTCTTTAATTTTTTTAATTTCATTTACATTCCAAGGAGATCAAGCTAAAAAGACAGCATTTATTTATGTAATCTGTAATCTGCAAGCGAAACAGCTTATTTCTTTAAAAAATTGGAAAAGTAGTTTGTGCACCAAATATAGACCGTTAGCTAAAAAAGATGGTAACAAACGTGTCAATAAAAAAAATTATGTTTTTGAAGGTGGTTGAGTTGGAAAAGGTTTATTAGAAGATTGGTAAAAGAGGTGATACTGTATTCTGATGTAAAATACCAAGAAGCATTTTGTTTTGTTTGTTCAGTTGTTTGCTTGTTAGTTTGTTATATTTGGCTCATGGAAATGTACATATCAAAATAGAATAAATGAATTAGAATATATATATATATTATATATATTATAATATATATTAAAAATATCTATTATTAAACTTAAAAAAATACCCATAGCAAATTACCAATAAACAACGTAGTTTAAATGCTTAACTAGATTATTATTTTTATTAGGCAATTTAGGTTGACAAGGCAAGTTATTGGATAATAATGTTTTGCTCTGTAGACAATTGAAAAATGTCTAATTCTAAAGGAGGCTAATAATATTGTCCTTAAAATAGTTTTTAATAAATAAAATCCAGGCAAGATAAAAGAAATAAAAAATATTATAGGATCTACTGTGAAAATTTCCTTGGTTTGTTAAACATTTTGACTTGCACTGTAATTGCTGAATCGAATCAAGCATTGATCACAACTTGTGAATCACAATCAGATTAAAACACCTGAATCATCAGCACGATAAATAAAGTACACAAAGTAGTGTAATAGCTTATGGACAGTAGTAGGGCTACACAATATACCATTAGAGCATTAATATTGCAATGTGTGGATCTTTGACAGTCATGATAGAATAAGGGTGGGCCGCTAAACAATATCATATTGAATCGCGATAAAATTGGTCAATAACAAATACAAGCTCTGGACTTTCTATGTTCTATATATCTAAAAGTGTGTTGATATTGCCCTACTTTAAGAACAGTCTGGGAGGGGCTTTTTAAACTAATTTTTTCCTTATTGTATCCAATTTCCTATTTTTTTTGTGTTACGTCTCAACTGTTTTTCCCTGAAATGTGTGATGTTTCTGTATGGCCAGAGCGCTGACAAAGTCTCTTCATCATATTAGAGATGTATTCAATATTCAGCCATCAAAAATTTATTGGCTGAAAATATGTTATGCCGTTTAATGGAGCCTCTAATTTTTGTGGCTTCAGTCATTCTTGGGGTACTCTTAAATCTGGAAGCATTAACATTATCGTTCAATTTGGAAAATAATTACCGAGATTGTATTTTTGCCGTATCCCCCTGCTCTATGAGAAAATACCATGTACAATTATTCAGAACACACAATAATTGTGGAGATTAAACATAGTAAAGCGCAAGTTTATACATTACCTGTGTTTTTACGGACTGTGATTGTATAATGAATTTAAATAAGCTTAAATCACTTTGGGCACAAGGAAAAGTTACGTTTGTTGTTTTAAACATTAATTGTATTTGATTTATTTATACAATGAAGACTAAACTGTTTTATTGTACATTTTGATTATTTTATTTCTGTACCTAAATACAGCTAGATTTGTATCTTATCGGGTTTGTCTGTGCTTGTAAGTTGTTTAGTAATTTATTCCGATTGACACTCTTTAATATGAAATTATTCTTTGTGAATGAATCTTTTCCAGCAAATGTAGGGTTTTTTAATAAGGTGCAGCCCTATTATGTAGGGCATTTTTTACATTTACTAACAGTGAAAAATGAATCAAAAGCATTTATTAATCTTAAGTAGGGGAGAACGGAGATGAAAGTAACATGGGACAAAAGTAACACAGAAATTTTCTTCAAGCCCTGACAACATTTGTTTTTCCAGGCTATAACAGCAGATTCTGCATGCAAACCTAGTTAGAGCTGCCAAATATCATGTGACCGTGTCAACATTAATCTCAATTATGTTTTTTTAAGTGCAAAAAAGTAAATCATTGTAGTGGTTATTTTTTCCTTATTGCAAGTTGTGTTTCACTCTAATTATCAATCTACAGGTTATTTAGTGCAATAACACATCCTTAAGTTTAAAATGTCTGAGTGTTTTAGTTTAAAGGTAAAACGGGTTTAAATGGCAAGAGTTCCTGTAGGGACAAAATGAACACTTATTTATGTCTCCCTGCTAATAGACATGCCTTATTTTTCACTTCCAAATTAGCATTTGCAGTGTTTGGATTCAGATGTTTTAGAAACTTAATGCATATTGGCAATAATAATAAAAAAATATATATATTTAAATTCATCATATATTCATTGTAGAAAATTAAGATTTTTCATTGTTTATGCTTTGCGAAACAAAAAATTAAAATGCAGTTTAATGTTTAAAATCTAAAATATAACCAGCAAATTATCCAAATCACAGTTTTGTTTATTCATTGTTCATCACGCTGCTTATTTTAAATAGTTTGTTGTGTAAAAATAAAGTGCTCTACTGTATTTACTAAACAGTTGTATGAGTTTCACCATCATGTGGTGTAAGGATGCCAAACAGACATCAGAACAGGGTGTGTTTTCTCAGAAATTGTAATGCATTTAATCGTTGACAAAAGATTTGAACAAAAGATAGCGTTAACTCGGTCAGAAATACAGTGGTTTGAACGACACAAAGAAATTGAAACTGTTTGAGACAATTGTTGTTTGTTTTATTAACATGCTGTATAAGTATGGAGCATCTTATACAGGACCTGCAGTGACAGCTTGGGCTGTTGGTGGATTATGCTTTAAATGGATTGAAGGAAGCCCAGGCAGCATTGCAGCTGGTGAAGGAAACCTTTTATCCAAGCACAAAGAGGGAAATGGGAGAGTTTTGTGCGATTATAAAATATAATAGACATATATTAGCATGTGCTGGAGTCTTCACATGATCTGAACTCACGGCATGCCATGTAGATTTCAGTGTTGTTTGATGTAGTAATATGCTCTTCTTTTTTAGCTAAAGCTTTAGTTTATTGTCAGTATAACTTTATAGAGTTTCATTAAAGGTTCATTTTTACTTTAGAGCTTAATTAAAGTGTAAATGCATTATTTTTATAGTCCGAGTATTCTCAGTTCCTCTTCTCATCATGCTTATGTCAGCTATGTTAAAAGCTACATCATAGACTTTCTACATCATTGTTGAAATTCTTTTTCTCTTTTTGTGCCGGGATCATCAGGGTGTGTATTTTCTTCCATATAAGTCAGCTTGAGGAATGACGTGTTCTTTCTTTTGGCTCATTAGTTGACTTTAGATCAGTTTTTAAGAAGAGAATGTTTTGTACCAGACATTGCTGAGCTGCAGAAGGTGCAGAGATCTCTTTGTGAAGAAGCACCTGCCTATGTTTTCTTCAACTGATCATGCTTTGTGGTTTTCAGCGCAGGATGTGTCAGCTGTGTGCGTTTGGGTGTATAGCGTTTTGTTCTTTCTTTTGTTTTATTCTAATATTTATTGTGTTTTGGGAGTAAGATACAGTCATATTGTGCAATCACAGAGCCAGTTCTGTTGTGTAAAGTTATGTGCTTATGCCTCAGTTAGGGGTGGTGGGATTTTTGCTTTAAATGATAATCACTAAAATTTCCTTCCGGTGATGTTTTTGGGTGCTTGTTTCTGTTATTGAATAAAAAGAAAGCAATTACTTTCACAAATCTGAATCATTCAAGTTGTGAGTTTTTGTCTTGTTTTTGCAAGTTAACATCTCACAATTCGGACTTATTTTATCTCAGGATTTTGACTGATAAACTTCCAAGTCCTACTTACAATCTCTGCAACTTTTTTTTTGTTTTTGTTTTTTTTAATCGCATCCCGCAGTTTTGAGATAAATTTAGAAGTAGTTTATGTAAATTCCAAAGGTTTTTTTTTTTTATCTGAATTGTGAGGAAGATCTGTCTAAACTGTTTAAAAATATTGACTTGTCAACACAATCGACAGTCTATTAAATAATTTGTATTCTCACTTTTTGTTTGAAATTTAAACAATATCTGGGCATGAAGACCTTTCAGTATCAATTGAGCCATTATTTTTGTTTTATACACTTGTTAGTGGCGACACAGTGGCACAGTATGTAGTGCTGTCGCCTCTAAGCAAAAAGGTCACCAGGTCGCTGGTTCGATCCTCGGCTCAATTGGCGTTTCTGTGTGGAGTTTGCATGTTCTCCCTGTGTTCGTGTGGATTTCCTCCAGGTGCTTCGGTTTCCCCCACAGTCCAAAGACATGCGGTACAGGTGAATTGGGTTGGCTAAAATGTCCGTAGTGTATAAGTGTGAATGTGTGTGTGCATGTTTCCCAGAGATGGGTTGCGGCTGGAAGGGCATCTGCTGCGTAAAAATGTGCTGGATGAGTTGATGGTTCATTTCGCTGTGGCGACCCCGGAGTAACATAGGGACTAAGCCGACAAGAAAATTATTGAATGAATGACACTTGTTAGTCAGAATTTGCGTCTGTTTTAAATGAATATTTCTTTCTGAAACATGATTTGGAGTGCACATAAACTGAACTACAATTCTGTCTTCCTTTATTTTCAGTCATCAGTTTGTGGGAAGATAATGGAGCTGCTGGGCCAGAATAAGATCGACCATCACCAGAGGCAGGTGGCCATCCTCAGTCAGGACAGTTTCTACAGGGTATTGACCCCTGAACAGAAGGCTAAAGCTCTGAAAGGACAATTTAACTTTGACCATCCAGGTAAACAACCCATAATCTCATGTTTGTGGTTTGTTTGTTTTTTGTCCGATTTCCAAAAACCCTCCCCCTATTGCAGTGTTGCATTGTGAACTCAGACCAAGACCGTTAGTGCAGTCTGTATATTTTGGCAGCTGTGAGACTGTGTGCCTGACTCAGCCACCCCCACACACACTAATTCTGCAGCAGCACATGTGGCTTATCACTTTTTTTGTGCTTGTTCTTGATTTCCATCCCTTCTGACCCTCTTTTATTCTGTCCCACAGATGCGTTTGATAATGAGTTGATAGTCAAAACCCTGTGTGAAATCATGGAGGGAAGAACGGTGCAAATTCCAGTCTACGACTTTGTCACACATTCAAGGTCAGTGTGGGGCACATATTGGAAAGAGGGAGTTTATCCCACAAAGAAAATTGTCTGTTTTTTTTTACACACCCTGAGTCCATCGGTAGAACATCAATGAAGACTTTTAGCTGAAATCATGGTCTTTAATGATTTCATAAAATGCAAATCAATGGCTATAACAAAGATACTTTGACCCCTGGTGATGCATTGAAAACTTAACATCCATCCATCTATCCATTCATATTCTCTGACTTTCACTGAATAAACATCTGAATTTCCATGGTCTGTAAAGAATGGAAGAACAGGCACAGTCTAAATCCCAGTTTTTGGAGTGGTCAATTGAAGCCAAATCTCTCGAAATTAGCTTGCATGTTTGCCTCAGTTAACTTGCACAGCCTGGTGACTGCATTTGACTTAAATGGCTGCCATATGACAAGTGGGAAAGGAATAGAATGGCGCTAAAAATAGCCTAACCTTAACAATGTGAAACAACGTGGGAAAAAGCATAATACTGTATAGACAATAGAGCTGCACGATTCTGGCTAAAATGACAATCAGAATTTTTTGCTTCAAATCAAGATCACTATTTTCTCTCGATTCTGTAGATGTAAACTAAAGGTTCCCCTAATATGAATAGCCTATTATTATGGTTATTCTCAAACGTATGTTAAACATCAATAATAACATTAGGCATATGTGTAGGTCTACTGTTCTACTAATTCACAGTAAAGTGATGACATCAGAATATTCATAATTGTAAAGTTGAATTATTATGTTTGAGACATATGTTTTTCATTGAAATAATTAGACCATTTTTTCAGTAGTAAAATGAGACATTTGTCATTATCAGATTCCCTCTTGCATTATATTCAACGTTAAATAGGCTAGAGTTGTTATAGTGACACTAAACATTTATTCCCATGCACAACAATCCGTGTTTGCCATGAAAGAAAAAAACGTATCAAATGCTTGTCGTAATCATAACTCTAAAATGCAATTTGATAATCTAAATGATGTGCATGCTGGTTTCACTTTCACTGCCAAATGCGCTCATGTCATGGCTGCCGTCACTGAGAGAAAAACATACATGCAAATCATACTTTCGCTTGGCTCTCAAACAATCACTCTGTGCAACAACCTAAAAGTTATTCATTCATCATTCATTTTCTTGTCGGTTTTATTAGTCCCTTTATTAATCCGGGGTCGCCACGGCGGAATAAACCGCCAACATATCCAGCAAGTTTTTATGCAGCAGATGCCCTTCTAGCCGCAACCCATCTCTGGGAAACATCCACACACATATTCACACATACACTACGGGCAATTTATCCTACCATCCTATCCAGAAACTCTGCCAAGGCTCGAACCAGCGACCTTCTTGCTGTGAGGTGACCGCACTACCTACTGCGCCACTGCTTCGCCCACCTGAAAGTTATTTGCAACTATTACCTGTTATTTACAACCACACAGGTTCTGTTCACTAAAGTACACATCATTAAACAAACGGTAAACAAACAGTGCATCAGCTCACGTTTGATTTCAGCAGCCGCGACTACATCATTACATCAAGACACTTTTCACACCATTTGGAGGTGTCTATGTTGCTGTGAAGAGTTGTGCGTCCACCTTTACGCTTCTCTCCTGACCTTGAAAATATAATTGGCTGAATCATAGAATAGTTGAATTAAGATCACGTGTAGGGTTGAATTAAGATCGCAACCTTTTTTAAATTAATCGTGCAGCCCTTATAGACGAATTAGATTTTACTTTTGGAAACAAAGAATTAAAGTCAAAAAGTCCTTGGGGAAAAAGAAAATAAATGTCCTCACTTTTAATGTCTGCAAAAGATCTTTTTAAACTGCATGATATTCCAGAAAGTCACCTGTGGGAACCCTGGGATAAGTGCAACTTTTACAATGCATAATCCTTATGCCTCATTAAGGTAATAATGGTGTCAATAATGTTTAGTTTCATGCACACAGTGATCATTTCACTTCATATGTGTCATCAGGAGCAACATGTTCATTTTTATTTTGCCTGTACATGTGCTGTATATGACTCTCAAAGAGCCTGTACCTGTTGACTAGTATTTAATGAATCGCCATGAACCACAGTCTCAGCTAAAAATCTGCTTTAATGACTTTGATTAATTGTCCTTTTTTGCTGGCTGGACTACACCTTAAACGTTTCCTTTATGTATTATATATATGTGGATATGAAAGCAGTGTGTAAGCAGCACATGTTTATTTTGCTGCTCATATTGATTTGTTGGGTGAGTTCAATGTCAGTGCTAAATGTAGCTCCTGTTGCGCTCCTTACACACAGCTTAAGCTTTTGAAGTGGAGCGGGTCTTATCTTGGTGTGTTGTATAATCTATTTGTTCTGGTGTTTCCTGCATCCTGATGCACTTTTGTTGTCCTTCCACATTTGCAGGAAAGAAGAAACGGTCACTGTTTACCCAGCAGACGTGGTTTTATTTGAAGGCATCCTCATGTTTTATTCGCAAGAAATCCGCGATCTGTTTCAGATGAAGCTGTTTGTGGATACAGATGCAGATACACGTCTGTCCCGCAGAGGTGTGTGTGGGTTTTAACAACATCAGTGAACTTCATTATGTGGTAGTTAAGCAATGCATTCCATGCATTTTTCAAATTTCTCGCTTCTTCTCACAATTGTTTCTCTTTCTGGTTTTATTCTCGTCCGTTTGCAGTCCTGAGAGACATCAGTGAGAGAGGCCGTGACCTGGAGCAAGTGCTAAACCAGTACATAACATTTGTTAAGCCTGCCTTTGAGGAGTTCTGTCTGCCAGTGAGTGGGAGACTTCTGCACTTTTTCTTACTGTTCTATTTGTATACAATGTACAGTTAAAAACAAAACTATTAGCCCTCCTGGGAAATTTAAAACTTCACAAATATTTCCTTTTACATTTAAAAGTGTGAATATATGTATGTATAAATATATAATTATGTATGTATGTATGTAAACTATATACGTTTATATGTATATTAAAGTACTGTGTAAGCAGTAAAAGGAACTTTTTTCAAAGTATTTCCTCGTATAGTTCTCTTATGGAGCAAGTCTTTATTTCATTTAGACTAGAATAAAATGATTGTCTACAGAACAAACCATTGTTATCCAATAGCCTGCTTAATTAACCTAACTTGCCCTGTTAAAATAATTAATCTACTTAAGCCTTTAAATTTCACTCAAGCTGAATATTAGCATCTTGTAAAATGACTTGTCAAACAATATGAACTGTAATCATGTCAAAGACTTTTAAAGTTTTAAATACCTTGAGAACTTTTCTCTGCTAAACAACACCATTTTAATTATAAACTAATTTTGCTCTATCTGATCGGAAACTTTTTAACAGCTGTGTGAGCTTATGAATTTGTGTGTGTGATACACATTTTAAGTATTAAAATCACAACGTCTTGATGGCTTGTTTTATTTGGACCAAAATCAGTAGGTTATGGTTAAGATGGTATCATATTTGTTGAAAATATAAATAAGAAAATCTATGATTAATTCTGTCTTAATTCTGCCCTGCCTAAAAGAAATTAGAATTTTTTGAGTTAATACTAAAGTTTTAATATGTCAATGTGTGCAATCATGTCATCAGTAATGGAATATGATTGAGAATTTTTTTTTTTATTATATAATGTGCAAGCACCTTATAGGATCAAGTTACATAATGCAGAATATATGTAGTCATTTACTTGTATGTAATGTGCATGTGTGTCATTTATTAATATTAATTTTGGAAACAGGTGAGCAGAATAAATTGATTTGTAGTTTTTTGGTAAGCATTTCACAGGATCTATTTATTAGACTTTTATTTAAAAATGTCTTAAATCTCTTTACTTTCACCTTTCATCAACCAATCATTTAATAATGAATTATTATTTAAAAAATAATTAATTAGTTTCTCATGCATTTCTGAAATATAAATGTTCCATTTATACAAATGGAAATTGTATTTACATAATATATTATTATTTACTCATCTTTTTATAATTGTGTTATATTAAAATACAGATAAAAAAGTATTTAAGTTCACAACAGAAACTGTTTTTGGCATTTTGTCAAGAGGAAGAAGGTGGAAAAATATTCACACAATGGAATGTTGCTGTTGTTGTTGATTGTCTTCCTGATTTTTGTTTCTTAGAGCTTTTTTTTCTTTTTTCTTTTTTTGTCTTAGACAAAAAAGTATGCTGATGTGATCATTCCAAGGGGAGCTGATAATCTGGGTGAGCTTCTGAATGTGCTATTAGACTTCACCAAGGAAGAGAGGAGACAGGAACACGTTGATAATGAAATGTTTTGGAACGTTTGATCATAAACATGAATTGTTTTGATTATAGGAAGGCTGAACTTCTAGTCCTTAGAGTTTAAATGGATCAGAATCTTTAGTCTTTTTCTTCCAGTTGAATTTAACCCTAGCAGGCCTATAAAAGACTAGTCATTTCATCATGGAACAACTTTATAGTATACTATATATTACCTGTTAAAAGTTTGGATCACTCATTTGTTTTGAAGGTTTTTTTCCCCCTACCACCATCAAAAATACAAACATGTGGTTGGTATTATTATGTGGTGAATAGGACAATCAGAATAAAGCATTTATTTAAAATATTTTGAAATGACGTCTTTTTCTGTCACCTAGAAATATTTTTATTTTAATTTGGTCCTAATTTCTATTAAGTGACTCTAACTTCTATAAGTTTACATTAAAATTAATCATATGGTACAGTGCGCTTATTGTATACACTACCTGACAAAAGTCGTCGATCGTATTGTCGTAAGAGCAACAAATATTAACTTGACTTCTAGTTGATCGTTTAGAAAAGTGACAAAAGGTAGATTTTGAATCATCTGTTGAACTGCATCCCAATCATCACACATACTGCAGAAGACCGATTGGAAGCCACATGGACCCAAGATTCTTAGAGAAATCAGTCAAGTTTGAGGAAGGAAAAATCATGGTTGGGGTGGGGGGGGGGGGGGGGGGGGGGTTACATTCAGTATGTGGGCATACAAGAGGTCTGCAAGACATTTGTGCTGCCCATTATATTACAAACCACAGGAGAGGGCAAATTCTTCAGCATGATAGAGCTCCTCCTCACACTTCAGCCTCCACATCAAAGTTCTTGAAAGTAAAGAAGGTCAAGGTGCTCCAGGATTGACCAGCCCAGTCACCAGAAATGTACATTATTGAGAATGTCTGGGGTAAGATGGAGGCATTGAAGATTAATTCAAAGAATCCTGAGGAACTCTGGGAGTCCTGCAAGAACGCTTTCTTTGCCATTTCAGTTGACTTTATTAATAAGTTATTTGAGTCATACACAATATTAATTCTTTTTGCACTGCAACATGACTTTATATTCTATACTGTACATTATTTCTGTTATGTGCCAAGACTTACTGCCAAGACCTTACTGTCCTAATTTATTAAAAATCAGGGCATGATCATATTTTATTTTGATAAGATAAGTGTGATTTTAGCCTTTGCCTTTCATATAAGCCACTTCTGATACCAAATAATCAGCTAGAAGTCAAGTTATTATTTGTTTTTCCTAAAACGTGGATAAGCGACAAAAGACTTTTGTTAGTCAGTGTACATGCCTGGTGTACTTGTATATGGAAAATTATCTTAATGTAATTACATTTGTGATTAATTTCTGTCGAGTTTTTAATATTAATAACAGAATCATGAGGAACATTAAATGACATAAATCTATATCATTCTATAACTGTGTAGTACACACTAAAACAATTATGTAATAATATTTCAGTTTTTACCCATTGTTTTTCTTTCTTTTGATTTAAATAACTTCAGGCCTGGTGATCAGAAAAGAACTGAACCCCTAAATAATTGATTATAATAAATATTAAATCTGACTGCTGTTGAAAATTAGAGGTAAATGTAATTTTAATACATGATGTAACTTGATGTTTGTTTTTACCTCTACAGTTGCGATCAATCTGATAGTTCAGCACATCCAGGATTTTTTGAATGGTGGCTTAACCAAACGCTTGAACGGATGTCTCAACGGCCACACACCCCGAAAACGGCATCCGTCAGAGTCCAGCAGCAGGCCGCATTGACCCGATCTCCACCACTATGTCAGGGAATATATGTCTGAAGGACGGACGGATGGATGGATTGCTTGAGCATTCTGTTAATTAGCCAACACTGTATATGACGAAAACAAACAAAAAAATAATAATCAAGAAAGAATTTCAAAGACTGCCTTTGCTTTAACTCTGCTTTCTTTTGTTTTGGACTGACTACACTTGACATTTTATGGAGTTTCAAAGCTTTTGCGATTTGTTAAAGGTCAAAACGGATATTTCCTCTATTTATTTTGCCATTTTTATTTTTTGTACCTCTTTAAGACCTCTTGTACCTCTTTTGTTGCGTAAAAGGGGGGAAATGCAGATAATTAAATATAACATGACTCTGTGATAACGAGGATTGAATATTAAGTTATTGTTTATTTTATACCTGTAGATCTTTTTAATATCAGAAACGACTACATTTGCAAATTTATTTAAATACAATTTTATTTTTTGCATCACTAAAATGCTCTTCGGAGGCCAAAAACGATTGTTTTAAATTCACTTTGTTTATTTTGTCTTGGTTAACAAGGTTTTAATATTCTGGCATTATTTATATAAATCTGTAATATCAGTGTTTCATGCAGAGATAAACATTTATTCCTCCGCTTAACTTGAACCATTCAGGCAGTGTTGCTATGTCACAACAGGCCTCTCAGGGTGTAGTTATTAAAAATAACAACCATAAGACTATTTTTTACAGTATGCAGAAGACACCTCTAAATTAGAAAGGGAACTAACTGAACAATTTGTGAATGTGGTCCATTTTATGCACATGTATCACACTCCGATATGAAAAAAATCGAAGTGATCTTTAGTATAACACTGATTATTTACAAAGAAGACAATTGATCCTCATTAAACATGGTCATGTACTTTAAAATCAAGCTCAGTGGTTGATTGTGCAGTATGAAATATGATCTGTTTGTCAAGAGATTTATGTTCATATACTATGCACTGTACCCTTGACTCTAATAATGCAAATTGACACTCAGTTCATGACTCTCTTTAATTAGATTACTTGAAATGAAATCTCAGAGTTTCTTCATCCTGTGATTTGTTGGCTTTTAAACTGATTGAACCATTATGCCACCTGTGTTTTGTGACCTTTTTTAGGCTACCCATAGAAAATACACCATGATGCCACTTTGGTCAGTCTTTGACAGCTCGCCAAAGAGTTAATTTTAGTGTTTTTCAACACTTTCGCAATTTAAGCGGTTTAATTTTCATACATTTTCTGTGTATCTTAAATGGACTAACTTTAATTCTGTCAAATTTACTCTGACATGCGCTATAGGCGAATTGAATAAGCTAAATTGGCTGTAGGGTATGTGTGTGAATGAGAGTGTATGGATGTTTCCCAGTGATGTGTTGCGGCTGAACTGGAAGGGCATCCGCTGCGTAAATTACATGCTAGATTAGTTTGTGGTTTATTCCACTGTGGCAAGCCACTGATTAATAAAGGGACTAAGCTGAAAAGAAAATTAATGAATGTTGTTCTGTTGATCAGAAAAGAAGATATTCAGAAGCATGTTGAAAATCTGTAACCCTTGACTTCCATAGTATAGGTTTTCCCTACTATGGATGTCAGAGGTTACAAGTTTGCAACATTCTTTAAACTATCTTCTTTTGTGTTCAACAGAATAAACTCAAACTGGTTTGGAACAAGTCATGGGTGTGTAAATGATGGCAGATTTTTTTATTTTTGTTTTGGTGAATTATCCCTATAAAGCTACAAAAAAAGCACTTATTCATGTGAACCAGAACACTCCAACCTTTAAACCTGACTGTAAAATTTCCCTTTGACCTCAAAATTGATTAATCGTTGATCCATGAACTATTCCTGTTCAGCATATTTGTATTGTATTTATTTTCTGGTTGGCTGCATTCAGATTGCTGCTATGATACAGGGTGACACATTTTATCTGATGTAAAAAAAATATGACAAGTGATCAATTATTCAGTATGTAAATAATTATTTGATGGGCTTTTATTTTATTTTTACTCATTTATTAAGAGTTGTCTACAGTTCTGTCTGAGCCAGATGCAAACATATTAATAATACCTTTTTTTCTGACATGAATGCTTATTTGGTTGTCAGAGGCGCTCTGCTTCTTTGGTCAAAATTCTGTGCCATCACAATATTCTCTTGGTATGTTTTAGTTATAGACTTATTTTCATGACGAATCTCTTTCCATGTTACATGAGCTAAACAGCATTGTAAATATTACTTTTTTAAACAACACTTGGTAACTCAAACATCCTGGCTGTTGAACACAAGATACTCAACCAGAGGCTTTTGATATATATATTAGCACAGATTTAAACACCAGCTTTTACAAATGCAGTACACTTTACAAGCAATCATTTTCACACAACCACACATAAGCCCTGGATAAATTCAGGACTTCATAACCGTTATCATTTCAACTCGCACACTCCGTGTGTGACCCTACTTGACTGAAAATGATGCAAAATACTCCACTTTGTTTCGTTTTACTTCAATTTACGGGATTCCAAAGATGTAAACTGTTGTTATCATTTAATGTGAAGTTATTGTTTTTTGTTCCCACCCTACTGTCTGTAATTCCGTGACAACTATGTGACAACCTATATGTATTTATGTTAATATTTGACATTGTCTGGAGGCTTTTGGAAGGGATTTCAGAAGTATGGTGTTCTGCATGATGTATTATTATATGTTCAGTTATTGATGCCTTTGAGTTTTGGTGCTTGCAAAATGGGTGCAAAATGCAAAGAGAGCCAAAACCAATATAAAACCAGAAAAGGTTGCATGCTTGTGTTGTAGGACCAAACAACAACAGTTGCAAGGCTTTAAACGGCGTTTCTGTGACATTGCAATGATTATAAACTGCGCCTGATCTTGAAATGAAGCTGGAAATAGGTGTCCATGATTACTGTACCATCATGTAAATGCGTAAACAATCGCAGAAGGTTGTATAACAAAGCGATTGACAGCAAAGCTGAATAAAATAAAGGTTTTTGTACTCCTCCACATGCCTGTTGCCTTAACTGAACACACTCTGCTGCATCAGATAAAGAGTAAAACCCCTCTCTTTTAAGAACTTCATTGCTGGACAGAATTAAACAATGGTTTAGATTAGACAAAGATAACACGATGCAAAACAGGTTCATGGGGGTCATGGTGTGCTTTTGGTAGACCATCACAGGCACAGTTGTAGCATCACTGGTGTGCGACTAGGAAGTGATGTCACTCGGCGACGTGCAGTTGTACGCATGCGATTCCATATTGGTTGTTGAAGCTAAAGCGATTCATTGAAGGAACAGCATTTGTGCGGTTATTTAGATACTTAGACGGTTTCTTTAATACCGCGCACAGTTATGTCCACGAGTGACTTTTATTTGAGGTACTATGTGGGGCATAAAGGTAAATTCGGTCACGAGTTTCTGGAATTTGAATTCAGACCAGACGGTAAGTGACGCGCCAACTTTAGCTTGCTAATATGCTAACAGCCTTTCTATTGCAATCTGTGATTGCTTTCTTATTGAGCCGAAAACTATATTTACAGCTGTTTGAACTTCTATTTCTGTTCAATTTATGATTTAAAATGGTGATTTCAATGGATTGTTTGTTTAGAGCAGAATTAATATGCAAACTTGCGTTAGAGGAATGTTAGCATTAAAATTGCAAGTCTAATATCATAAATTTGATTTAGTTTTACCAATGTTGCTTACTAATCTTCATTTTTTTTATAGGTTATGTATATAGTATTAATGTATTAGCCTAATATTAAAAGCTTATGGATTATTTCCTTTCAGGAAAGTTGAGATATGCAAACAACAGCAACTACAAGAACGACGTCATGATCCGAAAAGAGGTAAAATCAGCTACGTGATGACGTCATGTGCATTGGTTATTAGATAATTTGCACCTTTTTGACAGACAGACCATGTTACTTATGAGATGTTCTGTTTTTTTCAGGCCTATGTGCATAAAAGTGTGATGGAAGAGCTGAAGAGAATCATTGACGACAGTGAAATCACAAAAGAAGACGATGCCTTGTGGCCTCCTCCGGACAGGGTTGGCAGACAGGTTTGTTGTAATGTATATTATTTCTTCTTGATTTTTGCCCTTTGTTCACATTCACAATATAATGTGACTCAAAGGGCCTGTTTACACAACTACACCCTGCACATTTCGTTGCACTTTGGCTGGTTTAGTACATTATCATTTGAAAATGTTTTTTGAAAGTGCATGTTTTTTTTGTTTAATGATTTTACCCGGATGTCATCCATGTACATGCATGCAGTATCTGAGTGATCGTCAGTTTATATTCATTTTTTGCATTATTCATTCATTTCTAGTACACCATTGTTGTGTAAACTGGTATCCTAATGGCTCTTGTTTGTGCCTTAAAGGAACTGGAGATTGTCATTGGTGATGAGCACATTTCATTCACAACCTCTAAAATCGGATCTTTAATTGATGTAAACCAGTCCAAGTAAGTGTATTTCATTGATTGTAAACATTATTATTATCATAATTTTTTTACTTCTGCACTATTCTGCCTTAATTTTGTAATCTGAAATTGTAGTATATATTATTGTCACACATTTTCCTGCTTTCTGTTTTATACCCTCAAGCAGTTTTACACAGGTTGTCTATGGGGTCTTTAATCTCAAAAACAAAATTTTAGGCCTTAAAAAGTTTTAAATTAAATAAAATATTGTGTTGTAGGTCTTAAATCTTTTGTAAACGGCTTATTTTTTTTTGTTCTTAGCTACCCAACCTGGTCAACACCCATCCAACCACAACAATCCATCTCAATAAAACTTTTAACTTTTTATTTAATAATGCCATTTTTAGCTCCGTTTACCATAATGCTTTAATTGTTTTCCTTTTAAAATTATTACAATAAACAATAAAATTGTTTCAAAAGTTCTCCATGTATTTCCTGCTGCAGAAGCTGACCTGATCAGACTGTTGTGCATACATTTAGTTTATTTATATCAACCTTAAAACATTTCATTTCATTTTTCAGGTTATGTTGGAAAAAAAGTGTATGTATACAACTAGAGACAGCTTGCTTGTTTTGACACAATATTTAAAATATTTTGCATAGAATTACCTAAAATATATATTTTATAATTTTTATTAAAAAAAAAAAAAAAAAAAATATATATATATATATATATATATATATATATATATATATATATATATATATATATATATATATAAATAATTTTTATTATTGTGTTATTCAATTATATATTTTTTAAAGTTTGATAGAGCAAAAAAAGTCTTTTTCAACTAGGCCAGTCAAAAAACTCCTTAGTGTTTAGCCCTGAATGAGTCTAAAATTTCATTTATAATGGTCTTTAAATGTCTTAGATTGAACTTGCTGGAACCTGCAGAAACTCTGTTTACAGTTTGTAATCTGTGCTATAAGATTGGTAACATTGTCTTGTTTTTTTTTTGTGTTTTGTTTTTTTGCAGGGACCCAGAGGGACTGAGAGTTTTCTATTACCTGGTCCAGGATCTCAAATGCCTCGTATTCAGTCTCATCGGCCTCCACTTCAAAATCAAGCCCATCTAACTGCCCTTTTGCTTTTATTGTGAATGAAAGTCGTGTTTTAGTTATTGTTTGAGCTACTTTCAACATTTGTATATTGTTCGGTGGTTAGTTTTTTTTTTTTTTTTTTTTAATAAAATGTGTTCAACTGTTGGTTTGTATTTTAGTTTATTTCAAAATCTATTTAAAGTCCTTAAAGTTTTGTATGTTCTCCTCATGTTGGTGTGGGTTTCCTCCGGGTGATCCGGGTTTACCCACAATTTCAAAGACATGCGCTATAGGTAAAGTTCATTCATTCATTTTCTTGTCGGCTTAGTCCCTTTATTAATCCGGGGTCACCACAGCGGAATTCACCACCAACTTATCCAGAAAGTTTTTACGCAGCGGATGCCCTTTCAGCCGCAACCCATCTCTGGGAAACATTCACATTCACATACACTATGGACAGTTTAGCTTACCCAGTTCACCTGTACCACATGTCTTGGACTGTGGGGGAAACCGGAGCACCCGGAGGAAACCCACGCAAACGCAGGGAGAACATGCAAACTGAACACAGAAACGCCAACTAAGCCGAGGCTCAAACCAGCAACCTTCTTGCTGTGAGGCGACAGCACTACCTACTGCGCCACTGCTTCGCCCACTATAGGTAAATAAGCTAAATTGTTTGAAGTGTATGAGTGTGTGTGTGTGTGAATGCAAGTGTATGGGTGTTTTCCCATGTTGGGTTGCCCCTGAAAGGGCAATTGCTGTGTAAAACATAAGCTGGATAAATTGGCGGTTCATTTCGCTGTGGTGACCCCAGATTAATAAAGGGACTAAGCTGGAAAAAATAATGAATGAAAAGTCCTAAAATATATTTTGTACTTTTATTTAGAAACATCATTATAGAAGATGCAATATATACACTTGTGGTCAGAAGCTTGGAGTCAGTGAGGTATTTGAAGAGGGTAGGTTGCACGATATTGCAATATTTAGTTTTTCGGCATTATATATTGTGATATGAATACAGTCTCACTAGATGGCTAAATGGTTTTATTTAGTTTTTTTTCTGGGAAGTCTAACAGTATACCGATACAGAAAACCAATCAAATGTAAATTAGTAGAGACATAATTGTATACATAGTAAAAACATCCAAAAGTCATAATTTATTATTCAAATTTGTTAAACTCTCTTGAATGTGTACATAGCCACAGGCTTATACACATTTGACGCGAATGCTAAACTTTTCTATACAAATCTGTAAAAAAAAAAAATTAGTTTTTTTGTACAAAAATAAAAGTTTTTGTCTTGTTTCTAGTCCAATTATCTAAAACCTATTAAATCAAGAAGCATTTTGTAGACTAGCAAAAAAAAAAGTTTTGTCTTCAGAAATAAGTGAAATTTAAGTAAACTTTTCTGGAAAACAAGTAAAAATAATAATTTAGTTAGAAATAAGAATATTTTACTTGGTCCACTGGAAGATAATTTAGTTTCTTTTTGAAAACATCTCAATTTTGACTAATTTTTCTAAACGATACAATATTGTTTTTAGGAATTTGATATTTGGAGTAGAAACAAGACACAAACTATAAGTATGAAAGCATTTTTTGAAGCGTGGATTGAACTGTCTGGTCGTATTTAATTCAGACTCTTGCAATGTGAGTATATCAGATGTGCATGCAATATCGATGCTGTAGAAATTAGTGTTTTGTGCAGAGTCTGACTAAGGCTGCATTTATTTGATTAAAAAAATACACAAATTATAATCATGTAAAAAGTTATTTTGTTGCTTTTGATATTTAAAAGCATCTTTTTTACATAAAAGAAAAAAAAATCAACCACAAAAGTTTGAATGTTGGTGTATGTAAAAAATCATAAATATTTGAAAATCTGTTGAAATGGTTTTATTAGGCTTTGTTACAATATTTACAGTATTGATTTCAGTGTTTCTTATAAGGCACAGGACAGGTCTTTCAGCTTTTTTATGATGAATTTCTTTTTGTCATTTGGAGAAAATTTAATTTAATAATTACACAATGCAGTAATGGTAAATTATCTATACTGTCATAAACATTTTTGTTCATTACATCACTTAATTAAGCATGAACTTAAAAATGAGCAGTCACATCAATCAATTCAGTGCACAGCATATGAGTTCTAACCTTCAGGTTCTACATTTAAACTAGACTCAACACATTGTTATTATTAACACAAATCCTCTAAATTCAGCTTAGTTCACAAGTGCTTTAACTTCATCATATTAAATGTGCTTTCAATGAATGGGGTTTCCATCAAGGACTGTAAAAATGTCTTCCAAGGACTTGTGAACACACCTAAGGAACTCATGAACATCTCTGGCAGGGTAGCTGGACACGTTGCACCCAATCCATTCATCATGAACCCCATAACCCACTCCAAAACCATCAGGCACCACAGGAGCAAAGCCACCCAGACTGACCGCAGGGCTAGTCAGAGTACTGGTAGACAGGATGTTGTGGTTTATGGCCGCATATGCAGGATCCTGGTACAGACTGGGCAGTGCCATTCCTTTCGAATTAGCCAAGTAGCGCATGGCGAAAAGATGGCGATCGAAACCTTGACCTACATGAAAGCAAAAAAACATTTGGTTGAAAATAGTTGAATATTGTCTAATGAGCTTCTATGACATTTGGTGAAGATTATAGAATATAATGGCTGATGGTGGAAATGCATACCATTAGATTTTGTAAGACAGGAGTGGGTTATGTTATTTCTGGAGGGTCATTGACCCTGTAGGTTTTAGCTCCAACTCTGAAAAATAAATACCTACCTGAAACCAAAAGACCTTGATTAGCTTGTTCAGGTTTATCAGATTAGAGTTGGAGCTAACCTCTGCACAGACTCTGACCCAGCAGAATTTCCATATTTCTCCCCTATTTTTAATCTTTCTAGGAAAAGAAAAAATGCGATCAACAAAGAGCTGATCTCAACTCGGGTGTAATTGCAAGAGCGGTTCCAGAGAATTATTTGTCATCGTTGACAGGTATGAACAATACCCACCCCTGCTATAGGACCTAAAGAACAGAAATAGTGGAGAAGGAAGCCACTGGACAACTTTTGATGATTAGGTGGCACATACTGACCCAAGTTCATAGGTTGGTTCAATTTAAGAACAGGAGTTATAAGCTAAGCTATTAGCAAATAAGCCAGTTTATTTTATCTCTTGACTAGTAGGTGGCACTATGCCAAAAATTTATTCATTCATTCATTTTCCTTCGGCTTAGTCCAGGGGTGTCCAAACTCGGTCCTGTATATTTTATTCCCAATTAACCACACCTGAACCAGCTAATCAAGCTCTTTCTAGGTATACTCGGAACTTCCAGTGAGGTGTGTTGAAGGAAGTTGGAGCTAAACTATGCAGGACACTGGCCCTCCAGGACCGAATTTGGACACCCCTGGCTTAGTCTCCATTTCAGAGGTTGTAACAGCGGAATAAACCACCAACTATTCCAACATATGTTTTACGCAGTGGTTGCCCTTCCAGCTGCAACCCAGTACTGGGAAACACCCATACATTATAGCAATTTTAGTTTATTTAGTTCACCCAAAGTGCATGTCTTTGGGCTTGTGGGGGAAACCAGAGAGGGAGAACATATAAACTCCACACAGAAATGCCAACTGACCCAGCAGGGACTCGAACCAGAGACTTTTTTGCTGTGAGACGACAGTGTGAACCATTGTGACACACAGTGCCAAAAATACGTATTTATATTTTAGGCCATGCTTGGTATAACGCATGCCAAATTTGGTCTAAATATACTAATTCATAGCCTCAGTTCACTTTGGGCTAATCTCAACAGATTTGACGATGCTTCACAAGCGAAGACCTGAGCTAGTTTTGTTGAAAATCAGACTATTTTATAAAATTCTAATAAAAAGTTTGATTTGACATGAGCCAATCATTTTGTTTCCAGCCATCATGGGTTCAAAAGTTATTAACATAAAACTGAGTGCAACTTTGAGACTTTTGATGGCACAACAGAATCTTGTTAGGTCATTTTAAAACTGTCCTCGATATGTTTCATAATTTTCCAGGAAACTATTGTACAGTCAATCATCATCAACATCTAGTGAATGAGTCATCAAAAAAAAAAGAAAAATCTCCTTGACTTGCTCAAAAGACTCAGTTTAGAGCATAGGCCAGATCAGCGTTTCTCCTTAAATGGTATGATCATGAATATGACTGACAGGATATTAAAGTGCTGTCCTCACCCATGGCCGCCTCTCTAGTGAGTTGCCCGTGGTATTTAGAGCATTCATTCAGCAGTCCCAGTAACTGCTCCACACTGTGCTGTCCCGGCTGCTGGACGAAGGCTTTTGCACACTGCTTAGTGTGAATGCTAGCAGGACGGATGGTTTCAGTGCGGCCGTGTTTAAAGGCTGCAGTGCTGCAGGACTCATAAGTGGCGACCGTCTGGCCGTATTGCCTCAGGAAGCCCATCTGGAAAGCAAGCTGTGCGATGGCGTCGGGGCTGAGCTTCTTCTTCTTAAGCTGCTCCTTTCCACCTTTCTTGAACTCCATGGCATCGATGGTGAGCTTTGATACGGCAGCCTGGAAATTTTCTTTGGCTTTTGTGATTCCAGCTTTTAACTCGTCATTAAGCTTGAACTCTAAACGGCGCACCGCTGAAGATGAGTCTACGGACGCAGGCTGAGAACCAGGCCCAACCAGAGGCTTCTCCGTGGTGTCCTTGAAGACCTCATTCTGGAAACGCAAGACAGCCACACCATCACCCCAAGAGTGCTCGAAGTTTATAGCTGCCTGTCCATCCTTAGCCAAGATGACACTGAAGGACTTGTCGTACCAGCGGTTGCAGCCGTCACCATGCAGCATGTTGTGGGAGATGTGGATGTGGTCTCTCAGCACCTCCTCATCCAAGCACAGGCAAAACAAAGCAGTGTCCACTAACTGCAGAGCTTCACCATTTCCAGCATCAAGTAGTTTTTGTCTCAACCCTGTCCAGGTGTCTCTATTCTCACTAGTTAGGACACCTAAGGGGAACGCAGAAGCTTGTGTTGGATCTTCCAGTATGTATTTAAGGTGAGCTTGAACCTCAGCAGGCTTGATCAGGTTGCCGTCTCGATCAAGAGCATCAAACACATACAGGTTTCCTCGCTTCATTACGAGCAGGTG